CAATTTGATATGACATTTTGCCCTCTAATTATTAAAGCTAAGAAATAATTATAATTCGCACTACGGAATTTTCTCATTACAGTGAATATTCCATACCCATCATTTGTAATTTCATTTTAGTCACCCAATTTCCATATTTTACCAACTAATGCTTAAAACCAACACTGACTCCCATGTTGTGTTATAAGGGCCATCATTACATCTGATAAATGGCTGTTTTTCCGAGTAATGGAATGTCTTTGATGGAGAGCATTAGTAGAGAAAATAGGTACTTTGTTCTGAGTGTCTGTATATGATATAATATTACAGTTCCTCGTTTGATTGATAGTATATCTATACTTTATTGCCGTCTGCTAGAGTTTGCCATTTTCTCTCTTGTCATGGTTTTTCACTTGATTTTTTTTCAAAGATTTGAACAAAGATAATATTACAGTTCTTGCTTGATTGATAGTATATCTATAGACACATTATTCTTAATCATATTTGTGCACCCTACAGAACAAAGGGATTGATTATTCACCATTCTTGTAATCCTTCTGCAATTGCCATTTCTCCATTATCATGCTTTTTCACTAGATTTCTCTCTAAAATTTGAAAGAATTGCCTGATTTTCTTGCATTTCTATACAATTTAGAGTGTCAACTACATGTCTGTATACTTTATTCCTTGCCGATTCCACTCTTTTATTCAATATTTTTCGTTTTAAAATCATGACCACAGTGACCTTTTGTTTGAATGCTCTTTCCAGTTTTTCCTGTTATAATCCCCCTGTAGTAGCTTTTTCATCTAAACATAGATATGAGATTATCCCTGGAGAGAGAGGATTATAAATGATACATAGCAAATGCATTAACTCAGCTATTCTTTGTACATCACCAAGAACAAGAACATCTCAGATATTTCTATTTCATATTACATGTTCATTTCAGATATAAAACCACTTTATCAATAAAGGGCATATCGTTGTTCATCTGTGCCAATTTGTGCCTTAATTTGCATGAGTCAATTTTTTATGTCACTTTTTTGTGAACAGTCTTTGGCGATTGGCTTCTGTAACAAATGGCAGGTGGTTACATTTTGCATGTTAATGCCATGTATTACTAATGATATGATTATACATACATGTATATAATTTACTTCAAAGTCATAGTACAAAATATGTAGTATTATGAATGAATTTCAATCTCTAAGGCATATTTTGGGCTGTGCCATAGACTGAACTAGCTAAGACTGAGCAGTTTAGACTGGATTAGCTAATACTGGACTTAAGGATTTCAGTTAAGGCTGAACTAGTTAAGATTGGACTAGCTAAGAATGGACTTAAGGACTTAAGTTAAGGCTGAACTACTGAGTAGTTAAGTCTGAACCAGCTAAGACTGGACCAGTTAAAATTGAACTAGCTAAGACTGGACTTAAGGATTTAAGTTAAGGCTGAACTAGTTAAGATTGGACTAGCTAAGAATGGACTTAAGGACTTAAGTTAAGGCTGAACTACTGAGTAGTTAAGACTGAACCAGCTAAGACTGGACCAGTTAAAATTGAACTAGCTAAGACTGGACTTAAGGATTTAAGTTAAGGCTGAACTACTTAAGACTGGACGAGATGAGACTGGACCAGTTAAGATTGGACTAGCTAAGACTGGACTTAAGGACTTAAGTTAAGGCTGAACTAGTTAAGACTGGACCAGCTAAGACTGGACCAATTAAGGCTGGACTAGCTAAAACTGTACTTAAGGACTTAAGTTAAGAGTGAACTAGTTAAGACTGGACCAGCTAAGACTGGACCAATTAAGGCTGGACTAGCTAAGACTGCACTCAAGGATTCACGTTAAGACTGAACTAGTTAAGACTGGACCAATTAAGGCTGGACTAGCTAAGACTGTACTTAAGGACTTAAGTTAAGCCTGAAGTATTTAAGACTGGACAAGCAAGACTATAACAATGTGCAAGATATTCGGAAGACCACAAAATACCATTTTCCTTATATTGAACATACAAACTGAGTCTTAATTTTTTAGCCTGTAGCTCAGACTGGACTATAGCTGTTATGTGCTAGATATTTTGAAAGACCAATAATGCCATTTTTCTTCTATTGCCATTCTATTGGTTTTGTTCATGCCAGTTCAGTAGCAGTCCTGTATTGATCCAATCCAAAGGAACTTAGTGCTCTTACTGATTTTCTGGTGTCCCTTAGAAATATATTTTGAACATGTAGATATCTCTCTACTGGCTATCTATAAAATCTGTATGAAATGGTAAAAGATATCTGGTATTCTAGTATATCAGATTTTTGTTGAATATTATTGTGCTCAATGAGTTTGATTATTTGTTATTCTATTATTCTGCATCTTGATTAAAAAATGCGATATTTTTGGCGTAATTGTAGATAAATCAATTAGTATATAGTACCTGATAGTGTGCCATTGATCTGAATATCACTGGATCACGTGTCAGAAAAAAAGACTGGTCGTGTTTTAAAATTGAGAATAGAGAGAAATAGAGTGAAATCAGCAAGGAATAAAGTAAACAGACATGTAGGGAACACTCTAAAATGTATGGAAATGCAAGCAAATCTGTCATTTTGTTTGAATTTTAAGAGAAATAATGTGGAATAAGTGAGGAAGGAGAGAAATAGAATGGGTGACATTTATTTTGTCTTTTATGAAACATATTGATCTGAAGATATAATTTTTTATGAAATATCAATTGAGAAAATATTGTTTCTTATCTGAATGGATCTAATTTTATGGAACAATTCCTTTTGTGATTTTATTTTGATTTTATTGTGTTATAAAGCAAGTTAATTTCGGATATAATACTTCGTAATTACCTTCAGCTAAAATTATTATTGTTTTATTGATCTCAACCACTAGCATTTTTGAATGTTAGTTGATTTTATTATAAAGTTGGGTATTGATATTACAAGTATGCTATTTGGATGAGAAAATGAGAAGATAAAAATAGACTTCTTTGACCTCAAGTAAATCAACAATGAAAACTAGGTCAAATTATGAAACAGTTATGACTGGGTCACATTTTCTCCGATCTATCGGCCAGCGCCAGGCAGATTCAGTGTTTTGCTCACTATTGTATTCAATTTTGAACAAAATACTCAATTACCCGGGCGCGGTCGTGAAAATCAGAGCAAATGTGACCAAGGCATTATGTAGCTGTCACCCTGTAGCTTCTTCTGATAATAATACAGTAAAACTTGTCTAATCTGATCAACACGATACATGTGATACTAAATCTGTTCTACTTATTCGGGTTTTTATGACGCCTTGTTCTTGTTGTATTGTTCTTCCTGCACTTATTTGTTTGCGGCAGCACTTGTTGTGCAGTCTAGTTTAAGTGTTTCTTAGTTTTTGGCCTTTTCTTTAGGCACCACTTCTTGTTATAATCTCCAACTTTTTTGTGGATGGTGTTTGGCATTCAGTTGTCAGTGTACAGCATCTGCAACAAATGACAGGTGGTTACATTTGCTATATACGAGGGTTGTCCCATAAGTCTTGAAATTTTTATTCTAATTCAAAAATATTTCAATGATTTTGGCTGAAAATTGGTATATTCTTTATCAGTACAAAAAACTGGACTTCACAGAGTGAATTAGTTGAATATAACCTTGTGCCATATTTCTATATTGATATATTCCGCAAAGGATTATATGATGAGGGATGTGTTTTTAATAATCCCATTTGATACCTCCTTATCCCTGGGATAATCTGCTAATCCGTAGCTGGATTAACTTCAATGAGAAAAATGTGATTGTGGTCATGTTTTAGAATAGAAAATAGAGTGGAAAAGAGTGGAATTAGCAAGGAAAAGGGTAAACAGGCATGTAGTCAACACTCTAAATTGTATAGAAATGCAAGAAAATCAGGCAGTTCTTTCAAATTTTAGAGAGAAATCAAAGGAAATGAGCATGGAATTCAAGGAATTTAAAGCAGGGGTCTACAGAATAAAAACTGTGTATCAAACAGTTAATAAATCACAAAGGGGTGAAAAAGTCAAAAAAGGACAAGTGACCGACTTGAATTATAACAAACTTTAAAATGATGCAAATAAGGTTGATGCCATTTGTATCACTTCATAGCCAATCATGTTAATAAACTTGCCAACAAACAAACAAATGAAAGACAAACAAACATACAAACACACAAACAAACAAATGTACCAAATAACAAACAAACAAATAGAATGCAAATGAACATACCAACTACAGAAAAAGACTATCAAATGAATAAATGTAAAATATTTTTTGAAAAACTGCATTTATATTGACCCCATTTAAAGTTTGATTAATACAGTACAAATGTAAACATCTGAATAAAGGAATAGTAAATTTTTGAATAGTTTCTTTTATGGTTTAAAGTTGTAAAGAAGCTTTTCATGTAAATGTACATGCATATTGTAAGCTTTCATACGTGTTCATACACAGTACAGTACATGTAGATATAACTGATATTTAAAAAAAACAACCATTTTGGCACATTTCCTCATATATCTGCATAGTTTCTCGTCGTATTAAGTTATGAGTTAATATAAATATATGATGAGGTACATTCAATACCATATATGGATCATTCAAGCGGAACAATGAATGTAAAAAGCTGTACATGTATGGAAGACAGTTAAAATGTACTTAATATAAGGATGAATTTACTCAGAGCACATCATATTACAGGATGAATGATACAATATAACTATTACATGTCTCCACGATGAACAGAAGTCATTTAGGATATTAGATGAATAAAACTCCGTCTATTATAATTGGGCATCAACTATTTTGAGATAATGCAGTAAAAATCATAAATTCATCATATCTTCATATCCATACAAAGTTCAGTACATTGTAGTGAAAAATATTTATGTTGAATTTAAATACAGAAGGCAAAAGGCAGAGGATGGCTGTGCCAATTAGTATTTAATGAGCTAGTTAACAAACATCAGATAATTACTGCAAGAGGCTCATTTGGTGAAACATTATTTTGCAGTTTGCAGTATAAAAAATAAAGTTCATTATTGACATTGAAATTAGGATTTAAACTTAAAATCTTCTGAGAAATAATGTGAAGGAGAAACACTTTCTTGATGATTAAATACAGTATTTTCTAAGTTTAAGTTTGTATAAGATAATTGTATACTGAAGAATTTCTAAAGATGACGATCATACGTGCAATATCACCGTTCTTTTATCTGAGCCTCTTTTTGGATTTTGCGACATTAGTCACAGATTTTCGTTTCATAGTTGAAGGAGCGACACATAATAAAGACCTACTCGTTGTAGGGGGTCAGAATGATGGATTTAACACTGGATTGATGGCTTATGTAAGCATCATGGCGATTATCAGGTTTCTTGGAAAAATGACTGCGGTGGTGCTATCTATTGCCGTTCAGAAACATCAGCATTTATCAATGGGAATCTGGTTCGGAGTGATCGTCATTCACGACATTGGAATTGGGGTGTTTTATTTAGAGTACATTAATTGTGTCGGAAAGGAGGATTATTATGTAGCGCATTTGTTTATTTTGATACCAAGATGTCTGGAATTTGCGTCGAATACGATTAAGTTAATTCTTACACCCTTGGTACATGATATCCGAGATATTGAGTCACGTAGACAAGCGACCATATATGGTTGTCTGTATGGGTTGTGCATTATGGGATATATTGGAACGATTGTCATTCTCGCATTGATTTCACCGCCAAATTATCAAACAGTGGGTGCCTCAAATTTTAATGAAACTGAGTTATATATTATCAACAAAAAGGCAATGGGTAGAAGCTACTACGAGGAAATTTACACTGATGTTCAAAATTCATCCTCTGGGACTTCCTTTTATGGGCATCACATCTCGTACGTTATCCCACAATCGGAAGTAATAAAAATCGGCAAATTGGCAAATATCATCCATAGTGAAAACGTAGGCTCAATTAGCATAGATGAACAGCAATATATAACCCATTGTTATAGTGGTTTTATCTTGCATAATATCTCAAATAGTCTACTAAATGAAACCTCATGTGAGAGATCTAAACGGCATATCCAATATCAGTTTCGCTATTATGAACCCGCACACTCAATGACGCCACATGGAAAATTGGAGTATAATATACGTATGTCAGATAATATCGAGGTATTGGATCCAATTTGGGAAAGATTAAATCTTGAGGATATTAATTTTGGAGTGTATATGTTCCTGACAGGAAAGAGCTCTTCAAATGAAGAGATAGACAAGAGCTCTTCAGATGGAGATGTTTTCCATAATCCATGGTCTGGGAAATGCCCCAAGTCTCCAATATTTACTGATTTTAATACTTGTTCAACAGGGAGTTTTCACAAGGCTGTGGTTGTTATTTACTTTTCCATTTATTTAATTGACTATTGTTTGATTTAGTGATGGTGTCCTTGCCAATCATCATAAAAGAATGAAATTGATTCTAAGAGGGGGGGTGTAGATGCCGATTTTGCAAGTGAAAATATGAAATGTTGTTCAAGTGAACAGCAAATCAGTGTTTTAGAATGTGACTGATATGTCATTTATATGACATGGTTATTGAATCAATAAAATATATATAATTAAACTGTTCTTCTACAATTACTATTACATTTGGACATCATATATGTTACAACATTCCTCCATTTTTAAAGAGTAGTAGAAAAAGTAGAAGAAATCAAGATTATAAACTGTGAACCTGATACATATAAATAATATATATGTATAATTGTCCTCAGTGGAACTTTTTCACACAATTGGTAAACATTTTCAAGGTTAAAAATGTATTTTTCATATTTCGAATGTAATTTTCAAGTTGGTGCCAGGTTTATTCCACATTTAAGTTTTGCGTAGTAAGCAAAAAAAACTGAACATGTAGAAGTCTGCATACTCATATAACACATGACTGTGGTTTACCATTTGTAAATGAATTTAATTACTAAGAGTGCATGTAAAAATGTCAATTTTAAAAGAAATCAAATAATTGATATTTACAGATAACTGGAAATATGTTTCTTCAAAAATCTACATAAACCAGCGGAAAATCCTGTTTTTAAGAAATCCACCTTCTTATTTTAGTAGAACAAAAGAGAAAAGAAAATTGTATCCTTGAAAATAGTAAAATAGTGTCCTTAATATTTCATTCAATCAGCCTAGCTGACTTACTTTTGTGTTGCCATAGTTACGGGATGTGATTCACTATGATCAATCATATATTTCTGTGACTGAAATGTTTTTACACTCAAGTTTTCTCTTTCAGTTGATAAAAGAGAAAAGATGTCAAATCTTGAGATAAATATAAATAAAACCAGAATTGAATCCAAAATTTGAAATTATATAAAAATTTAGGGAAATAATGAACTTCCTTTTGTAGTTCTCATGAGAAATTCATAATAAAAACTAAAAAAAACATGGACTTTTTGGATTGGAATAATTTAATTTGGACATGATAGATATGTTTGAAGTGTCTTTCAGAAAGAAGACCTGATGGACTGCATAGCCTTTAAATAAAATAAGCATGCTTGTTTTAAAATGCAAAGTAGAATAGAGAAGAGGTGTTTGAAATAAACCCAAAAATGAAGTGAATTGAAAATTGGGCCAAAAATTTAGTAAAAAACAACAGTATAAACTGAACTCCAAATTGAATTGTGAGAAAAAGTTAAAAACCTTTACAGATTTTTTGAGAGGAATAGAATTAAGTCAGGATATCAGATCGGAAATCAGATCAAGTGACTCATGACCTTAGTTTTATAAGTAAAAGCAATAATCTTGCCTGAACCTTCTCTTCTTTAGTAAGTTCATATTCAAATCTTCCTCTAAAAGGATGGGTATCGATGTGACGAACATTTTGAACACACATTTCTTTCTCTTAAACCAGTCATCAAAAAATTCTGAAAATTTTACACATTGTCAATTTAATGGTCCTCCTTTGAATGGTCAAAATATAATTTGAAATAGATATATGTACTTTCCTTTATATTGTTTTAGAAAACACATCAGACACTTTAACTTTTTTTCTGGATGGTGTTTGGTTGTTGGTGTTCAGCATCTAACAAATGGCAGGTGGTGACATTTTACATGTTACATTGTTTCAATAAGTGTAATGTAAACAAACCATAAGTTTCTCTTTGATGCAAAACCTACACCACTCTTTGCTCTAGGACTCTGTATAAACAGGAACATTCAATAAGATTATACCAAAATTGGAAGATATTCCAAAACTAGAAGGTGTAGTAGATGGATAAAGGACAGCATCAGTTTCATGAAATTGATATTGGATATACAATTTGACCATTTTGTACTATTACTTGATTAGATTGATAGAATATGAATGGAGAAGGTCACAAATTATCTGATTTGTCTAAAACAGAGCGACGTATGTTACTTAATTGGCAGAAACAGTCTCTGATAATTTCATTATTTTATTAGGTAAAGGCCCAGGCCCATAGCCAGCATTTGCCAAGGGGGGTTCAGTTTTCAAATATTTTCAGGGGGGTTCACATTTGACAATTTGGGCCAAATATGGCTAAAATCACTTGAGAAGTGCTCAAAATGGTGAAAAACTGCATGATTTTGAAAGAATTTTTGGCGGGGGTTTGCCCAAACCCTGCGAACCCCCCCCCCCCCCTCCCCTGGCTACGGGCCTGAGGCCTGTTGATACTTTGAATTGGATTAAGCACATGTATTTCTCTTAATTTTTCTGCATCTGGGTTGGTAGGCATGTGGACACTACATAAATCTTGTCATCAAAATTCCAGGTGGAAGACCTCTTTTCTGTTCTACTTGAAATGTTAAAGATCTAAGAGCAGACTATAGTGCCAAATTATGACAATTAGTCGATCAAGAGAATGGCATGATAGTAAAATTATACTATAACGTGTATATTGAAACCCCTCTCTAATTTGAACCTCTCAATACAATGTTATGCTATTAACCTCTTGACTACCTTGAGGGACAAGAATTCTCGTCCGTCACAAATTTTTTACTAAAATTTCTCTTATTTGAACAATTTTTATCCAATTTACACAAAAAATGTTTTAAAATGTTTAGAAATGATCTCTGCCATTTAATTCTACTAAGTCAAGCATCTAAAGTTGTACAGGTATGTAGTAGAATATCAAGAGATGGCAATATGAAAAATTCTCTGGTTTCAACTTTTTCTAGAGCCTGGGATTCAATAGGTTAAGGTCCCATTTTTAACTGCCATTGTTTACCATATAAAAACACTTTGAAATGTGAACCCTTGCCATTCTGAACACTTTTGGCCGGTCCCAGTGGTGTTCGGATTAGACAAGTTATACTGTAAATAAGAAAATGGCATTTCATGGAATGATCCAGGCACTGTGAACTCATATACTCATGGGATTATTTGTATCTTAACCTTTAGCGTGCTGCCGGCGGACTCGTCCGCCGAGACTAAAATGTCTCTCACAACTGCCGGCGGACCCGTACGCCCGATTTCAAACTTTTAAAAACTTTACTTTTTCGCGCCATTCATATTGTCCAATTAGATTGCCCGATTTATTCAGTGCCTAACATGACTTCCTGTTGACCTAGAAATGCGATATTTCGAAAAATAATTCTCAATTCAACAATTTAAACAGTGTTTAAGTCGTTTTTAGTGAACGAATCGTACAAAATGGTGGACAAATACGATCACAACGAAAATGTGGAGGAAATGGATTACGATTTCGAGCTCTTTAGGCTCTTGGAAGCCGATAACGGTCATCGAAAATAGAAGCTAGAATATTTTCTGAATTGAAAAATTGAACATTTGATCGCTGCAAATTCAGATTTGGATTCTGACCAGACGAAGAGGCGGAGCGGCGGATTCCGGAGGAGTATTCATGGTATATTTATGCCCAGTCGTGTTAATGTACGAAAAAATTCATGAGAACATTTTTTTCATGAGCCAGGCCACTGTGTCTTCCCTTTGTGAAAATTTTATCCAGATTCATTCAGTAGTTATTGAGATATTAATTATTTAGTCCAGGCATATCATTTTTTGCACTCTTTGAAAAATAAGCCAGTTGCGTGGGATATATTTGCTGAAATAAGGCAGCATGGTAAAGGTTAATAGAATATAGTTAACATAATGGCCTAAAATGTGCCCCTGAGAGCATGTTGGAATAAATGGGATAATCGCAATATGATCAACCTTTTAAAGATTCTGTAAAATGACATGAATGTACTTTTAAATACAATGTATGTACACATGGCAATGATGCTTGCTACCACCTTTTTGGCATTATATATGAATTTTTTTTTTAATTATGATAGCATGTTTTAGTTTATTGTATCATTGAATTCTTTCTCACTCTCTCATTGGCTGATAATGATCCAATCACATGATGAGCTTATGTTAACACGTTTTCGGATGCTTTTCACTGCTATAAAAGTGAGAAAGTGGACAATGATTAATAAATGAATCAATATTTTATTATTTTTTCAGTGAATACATGTTCATTTTTTTGATTGGAAAATAAGCATAATTCGCTGAAAAAATAGATTTGAATATTTTGTATATTTTGTGCATATTCAGCATGCATGCTATTCCCGCTACGTGTTGCTTGCCTACATCAACATGTGTGCTTATTAACCACATAGATGTTGTATTTTGTAACCATGGTGTTGGGCTTTTCATATTCAAGGTGAGAAACAGCCAATCAAAATCCACAACACCAAGCAAGATATCGGCAATCGAAACTCGTCCAACCACAACGACACACTTGATGACATCATAGGCTTTAATGACGATGATACACAAAGCTTGCATGAGAATTTAGATGATCTCCTCGGTAGTTTGAATTCAAATGATGACAGTGCTCCAGGTTTGTCGTCACTGATAGATGGCGCATCACCAGTAGAGGATAGCGAGTTGCATAGTATTGTACGCAAGCTCAATGTATTGACACTCTCGGATGAGGAATCTGAAACTTTAGGTTTTGGGGGTAAAGGTAATAAATGGGCAGTGGTAGAAAAACATTACGATTAAGGGTCATATTTTCAAACTCAAAATATGGTGGAAAATATTGAGATTTATAGCAAGGAATAAAGTAAACAATAGAGTTTTTTATAGTTATTATTGTTATGTCACCACCAAAAGAGGTGGTGTATTGCTATAGTCTCCAACTTTTTTGTGAACGGCAGTTGGTGTTGGGCATCTGTAACAAATGGCAGGTGGAGACATTTTGCATTGTTAATACCTTGTATAAAAATGGTAGAAAAATATCATCGGTTCAAATTCAAACACAAATTCTTTCAAACTGCATTCAATTTTTTTTTTAAATTTGAATGAAATGACTGTTTATAGAATAATAGAGATTGAACTGCAAGCAACTTTAGTCTTTTTCGTCATTTTAAGTTTCAATTCTCATTGGATGAGATTCACCATTTTCAAAACTGTTTTGCTTATGAAAACATCGCCATATGAATTTATAGTTGCATTGCCAACACTGGATATAATGTTTCTTTATCAGAGATGATTCCTTTACAAATTATTTAGAGTACCCCCACCTCACAAATCTCAATTGGCGCCATCATTAGGTCTCGTTAACTCCCCTGTCTAGAACTGATTGCAAGACAAAAATGTTAGTTGCGCTTTCAGGCTTCGTGAGATGAGATTCAAAAATGGCGTGTCTTTAAATATTATCAATTCGCAACCATCGATGTATTTACAGAATTTAAAATCATGATCTATCAACTAAAGTTTTAAATAATATTTGCTAATGAAATTCATATATTTATTAGACAATTTGCGAAAGTTGTTATGCAGCGAGACTATATATTATCACTGATCATAATTGCGGATATTATTGCAGACATAACGGAGCCTGATTGGTTACCCACAGAGTATCTTGTGTCATTTTAAAATGCAAAAAGAAATATTTTATTTTCTTGCATTTCCATACAATTTAGAGTTTTGATTTCATGCCTGTTTACTTTATTCCTTGCTGATTTCACTCTTTTTATTGTATTTTTCATTTTGAAAATTTAAAATGCAAAAAAATGTGGTTATTCATATGCATGTATTGTGCTGCTATTTCCATCCCTTATGTTGTAACCTGTTGATGTATGTTTTGCAATATCATATAATTATAATTAGCATGATATATTTTGTCTCATTAGTTTAGGATATATCTCATATCCTGTACCATCTATTGCATAACATTATTGGTTTTGCTAGCTTTGGGCAGCTTAGCCAAATGCCTTACCAAAGTCTCCAAGAATTTTTTTCAATGTTTCTGACTAAATATATTTGAATGTTTTTAAAAATTTCATTATTTATGTCACTTCAGAGCCTAGCAGCCGAAAAGAAAAATATTCCCGGAAAATGGCAGATAGCGGAAGTGAGGCCGATTCCATCCGTGATGAGGTTACAGCGCCATCTAAAACTGGAACTTCGTCAACCAATCAACACAAACGACCGAAGAGTCCTTTTGAGGTATGCTTTCTGAAAAATGTTATCATCAAACTAGATTTCAATAGGTGTAGTATTACTGAAATCCGGCCTGTTATTTTTGGGGGTGTCTATAGGGAAAGTACTATAAACCAGTCTGAAAAATTAATATCTGATTTTTTTTTTAATATCTGTAATATACTTGAACAGTAAAATCTGTTAAAACACCACTTGGACTGGCTAAAATGTTCAGTCTAGCAGGTGTTCACATTTCAAGGTTTTTCCATGTGAGAGTCAATAGAAGGGATTGAGAAAAAAGTGTGAGGTGTTCAGATTTGAGGTGTTTAGATATACAAGTTTCACTGTACCGCACTTTATATTTAACTTATCAGATCTTCTCTTAGCCAACTAGAATTTTGAGAAAAAATCAATGATTTTGTGCGTGTGAACTGTACCTTAATGCCCTGTTTGGCCTTAATTGAGAAAAAGCTCATTTACTCTGTGTGTTCAACTAAATATCTTAATGCTTGCTTGTCACGATAGGGTTTCTTACTTTTAATTGTCCTCAAATGTTTTCTTTGTTTAATCAATGGTGTATCAATGGAGAAAGGGAAGGGAGGTATACTTAGTAACTGACAGAGTATTATCAGTCTGAGAAGAATATTATTGGTTTGAAATATACCACACCTTATTTTGAATTTATTTTAACTTCTAAGTTCTTGTCTTGATGATGTGGATCAAGAAAGGACTTTGGCTTACTATGATGGTCTCACCCATATTGCTGTAAATGCGAGACCTGTGCCTCACATACCCCCTCCCACACACTCTTCTATGCTTCTTTGAGATGAGGCCACATTCCACAGTATATTCCACACACTTTAGTTTAATGATTGAATGGTAAAAAGAAATGAATGATCCATCAATGAAAAATGTAGAATTCTTTTTTTCAGTATGCCTTTTTTCGAAAAAAAAAGTTTTGCTTTCTGGGAGAGTTATAATTAAGGCAACCACTACAGGGGAAAACTAGAAACATTTAAGAGCTTGAACCTACCCTATTGAGCCTTAACAATATGAAATTCTGTTTGGAAAATTACAATATAGTTTTTCATTTTCCAGCTCTACGTGGCAAGATATAGTTACGACCCATTCCAGTTCTCGCCCAATGAGAATCCAGAAGCCGAACTCTCACTCAATGCTGGAGATTACGTTTACATCATGGGAGAAATGGATGAGGTATGTTTTCAAATTACTACCACTTTGGTTCGATATTTTTCCTCATACACAATTTTCAGTTAATGATAACATAACGCTACATTGCAAGGCCGGCTTACATTAGATTGGGGGTACCCCCCCCACCATCGTCATTAGCCCTCTGTCTTTAATAATGACGGTGGGGTTTGGCTAATATTTGTTTTATCAAAGAAATAAAAATATTATCATAATTAAATCTTAAATATTCTAAAGCTCACATTCCAATCTACACAATGTAAAAAAATCTAAATCTCTGTGACATTGATAAAGTTGAAATAAGCCGATAAACTTCATTCTCCAAACTGAGTATGGTATGGAATCATCCACTCATCATTATGTACATCAGTCTGTCTGTCTGTCTGTCTGTCCATCAACAATTTTCTGACAAATGAAAATTTGTAGTCATTTATTATTCTTTGAGGTATATATTATGAGAGTTGAGCAGGAGCATTCATATTTAAAGCAGTCATTTTGAACCAGTTCATCAAATATGGCAATCTCTAGTATTTTTAGATAAAGGCAAGAAAAACATATTAGGGTTTTTTAAAAACAATATTCTGATAAATGACTCCACAGGATCAATTTTAATAAGCTCTACTACTAAGTAGTGTAAACACACTCACCTAAGTCTCACCTATTTCAATATTTCTCTCTCAAATTTTGATACTATGCCACGGTCTTTTTCAAAATTTCTGTATTTTTGTTTTGTCTCGAACATTGGCTATTTAATAATATTTTCTTTATTCAATTCCTAGCTCAATTTGCTGGTTTAATCAAGACTGGAGATTTCATTCACAGGTCAAAGTAATTTGTATGTTTCTGGTTAAAAATTAATTTCCTGTTTATTCTCAGAGTCCAATAGTCTTAATGACATACATTGTAACCGCAATCCAGTTCAAATGAAAAATTTTCATGTCAGAAATTAGAATCAAAATGTAACGCTCTGTTACAACGTGATGAGTAATTTCCATACCTGTGATCATTACTTTAAGCCAATAAATATCTTTGTTGAAGCTCAGTGACTATAAAAGGCAGGTATCCAAGACAAATAGTCACCACATTATCGTTTTGATACTGATTTGGTCATTGCACAGCTATGATTTTTGAACAGTATGTTTGAACTCTTCTGATTAGTTTAAATGCAGATTTATCAATCCTGATCAAAATATTGTTATTACATTTTGACCAGAGGGTAATCATCATTTTTGTTTTTTAGGATGGATTCTTTGAAGGAGAACTGGTGGATGGACAACATGGATTAGTGCCTTCTAATTTTGTAACCAAAGTTCCAGGTTTGTTTGTTTATTTGTTCTTGTTTGTTTATTCATTTTAGTGAGACTATTTACATTTTATAAAATCATTCAAAAATGCCCAAAGTCAGCATTGGCTTATGAGACGGTTAGTTATTATCAATGGCTACAATAAACAATTAACAGATTTATTAATTACATCATTTATTTTTATTTCATTTCAAAAGTTGTGCATAAAATGGAGTGGATGACCCCAATAACTGGAAATTACAAAATGAGTTCATTTTAATCACCAACCCTTTTCCTATATACTCTTTTACTTATGTGAAAAAATAATATAATTTATCTATATTAATTCATTTATTTATTAATACGTCGACTTTCACAAGTATACTTGGATCTGGTTAAATATTTCATTGCTTTATTAATTGCCAAATTAGAACAATACATTGTCAAAAAGAAACTTTTCTTTACTACAGTACAGTGAAAACCTTCAAAGCTCTAGAAGTGGAACGCCTCTCTTAGTAGAACATTTTTAAGAGTCCCAAGAGCAAATGACTTAATGATAAATGGACCTCTATAAGTGGAATACCTCCCAAGTGGAGCACTTTTGAGAAGTATCAAATGTGTTCCACTTAGACAGATTTTACTGTATATACTGTAGTATTCTCTAAATTGTATTCATGAAGGCAAGGAAGTTGACGAGACTGCAGACAGAGAGGAAATTAGAGGCTTTCCAGGCAAGAACAAAAATAAAATTAAGTTGATTTTTTTCAGATGAGGAAGTTGAAGCAATTTTAGCCACTCTCGGTCAACATACAAGTTCAAACAGTAGCCTTAGCAACAGCTTACAACATGACCTAGAGTTCAATAGTAGCGATGAATCCGAGCGATTAGCGCAACAACAGGAAGTCAGTAAGTATTATGGGATATAATTCATTAAGAGCCATACATTTCAGCATACATATGTTGTATAAATCTTGACACAACACAACACAAAACAAGAAGTATTTTTGCAATATTCCTTGCTGATTTCACATTTTTCAACAGCAATTTCATCACAAAACAAGACTATTATGTCATTTTCACTTCAATTCTTTTTTATTCCATCACAACAAAGACAGTAACAGGGGGTGGTATAGAATTGTCCGATATGATGATCGCTTTATTTTTCCGAAAAATACTAAGAAAATGTTACAATTAATTTTTAACTCAGATGTTTGGTTATATCAAATAAAATAACATACTCCATGCAATAAATGTTTCATTTGCTGAACATGTTCTCTCTGTTTAATAGATCTTAAATCTTTTTGTTCACTTCATAGAATGAAATATTTGTTTTAAAATTCAGGTATTAAACCAGCCATGGTCATAATAGATGACAGTGATCTTGAAGACATTGAAGAAGTGGATGAAGACAACTTGACAACAGATAGATCCGATATAACTTCCAATAGTGAAACTAAACATAAAGGTGAGAACCATGATAAGGCCTCATTGGTAAGGCCCTGGTTAAATGCCTCATTGGTAAGGCCCTGGGGAAGGCCTTATTTTTAAGGCCCTGGGGAAAGGCCTTATTGGTAAGGCCCTGGGGAAGGCCTTATTTTTAAGGCCCTGGGGAAAGGCCTTATTGGTAAGGCCCTGGGATAGGCCTTATTAGTAAGGCCCTAGGATAGGCCTCATTGGTAAGGCCCTGGGAAAAGGCCTTATTTATAAGGCCCTGGGGAAAGGCCTTATTGGTTAGGCCCTGGGGAAAAGCCTTAATGGTAAGGCCCTGGGATAGTCCTTATTGGTAAGGCCCTGGGCAAAGGCCCCCTGAATTATAACCTAAGGGTCCAGGGAACACCCTTATTAATTTTCTCTTCAATATTTATTAGATATTGTTGAGCCATTAAGAAGTCATATCTGCAAAATTTGCAACATCATTTGATATTTTCCAAACAATGTTTTCTAAATAGGATGAAAAAATCTCGATGCCCCATATTTTTCATTCCTGGTGCAAATCATTATGATTCTCGTAATTGAACTTTCAAACTTGCAATATGTATTTCTTACCGAGGTATTATTAAACTTTTATGTCACACAAAGTTATGAGATTTTAATCACTTAATGATATGAAAGAGAGGCTCTTTACGTAACTTATAAACCAATTGATGTGTCTGATTAGTATTGTTTAAGAACAAAACCTATTTTAAGCCCATTGATCAAGTCATATTAGCTTTGTGGGAATAAGGATGGAACCTGGCAAAATTTACTACTCTGTGTGAAATTGTTAATAAATGAACTTATGAATTGTGAGCGTGAGAACATCAAGGTAACACTATGATTATTATCCCATGGAACAACATTTGGAGGGATAAAGGGAACACCTCCGTCCGTCCATCCGTCCGTCCATCCGTACGTACGTATGTTCGTACGTCCATCCTTCTGTCCATCCATTCGTCCGTACGTATGTCCAGGCAATAATTCAAATACCGTTTGCCCGATTTTGTTCATATTTTGTACACATATACCCTATGGAGGTAGAAGTTCCAATTTTCAAAATGGCCGCTTATTTGAAAATGGCGGCCATTTTAGTGACGATTTTATAGTAATTTAGGTGCAATATGTAAAATTGTAATAGCAATAATAAATGTAAAAAAATTAAGAAGAAATGTAGATATTAAAGAAGCACATGGCAGCCATCTTGAAAAATGGTGGCCTTTACTCGTTATTTTACGATTTTTGCTGTAATTCAAAAAGTAGTGGAGCGATTTTGTTCATATTCGGTATGTGAATACTATAAGCCCCCCTGGCTACGGGCCTGGTCACTTGTCAATGATACATAGGTATTCATCTCAATACACTTTTGGTATATAGTATTCACTAAAAACTTAAGTTGACTAGAGAAAAGTTGCAAAATTAAGAACAATATCATGTCTACTAACCAATGTATTTTTATTTTTAGGTGTTCCATATCCACGTAACCTGAAACTAGAACGTCAGTTGAACAACAGCATTGTCATATCCTGGACTCATCCCGAGACCAGTCCACATGTAATTACTGCTTACCACGTCTATGTAGATGACACTTTTAAAACTTCCGTGAAAAGTTCAGAACGTACAAAAGCCCTTGTTGAAGGTGTTACATCCACAAAGGTAAACAATTTTGAATGTTGACCTCAGCAATATTTCTGAATATTGTATGGGATTTTTAGGTCTTTATCTGCATTATAAGATAACAAAAATGATCCATCATGTACAGTCAGATTTACTTTCTGAGTAATCAAATGACCACATTAATGTTTTAGATACACTTTTGTATATTTCAGATTAATTAGTTTTGTATAAAAATACAAGAGACCACACATTTGTTTGCCAAACCACAAAACATTCAAACTTTGCATCTAGATTACGAATGAGAAAATGATTTTGTTTCAGCCACATAAAATATGTGTTAGGAGTGTTACCAATAGAGGGCAAAGCAAAGATCCAGAATGCACTATTAACATCGGTAAAGGTAAGATCTAAAACTCAAAAAATTGCGTTTTAGGCCAAAATCACCGATGTCAAATAGAGAATAAAGTTTTTATTGTAAAGCAAAATTATATACAATATTTTCTTTTCAAATAGAAAAAACAATTTAGTGAATTCATTTTAAAACAGTTAAAGGGGTATTATATTCCATGCATTTTAGTATTGAGTTTCCATGCCTGAGCATTGGTAAAAGGTATCCACTACCATAAGTTGCCAAAAGTTAAAGATTTTCCATAAAGGAATTTATTTTGTAAAGTGCTACCATCTATTTTTCTTAATTCTATTTTGCATTTAATTTTCAGAATCTTCTCTCGCACCGTCAAATCTAAGAGTTCGTAATGTCACCGCAACCTCTGCCTTACTTTCCTGGTTGCCTGGCAACAGTAACTACGTACACACCATCTATGTGAACAATGCTGAAACTAGAATATGCAAGCCTGGAATCTACAAGCATTCTTTATCAGGTATTTACTAATAAGGGTCATTAGGGATTGAATAATCGCTGAGACAAATTAAGGAAGTTGAAAATTTGGCCAGGCTTTAATCCAGAATAAGATAGAAAAATAAATTCAGATTTCCGTTTCTGTTTTATTTGAAAATATGTATGTATGAATATATGAATACAATTACATGTAATGTTAATTGTGAACTATTGATGTTCAACTAATGACTATTAATGTTTGACTCCTAACTATTTATGTTAAACTAATAACTATTAATGTTTAGCTCCTAACTATTAATGTTAATTCTGAACTATTGATGTTAAACTAATAACTATTGATGTTCAACTATAAACTATTAATGTTTAACTCCTAATCCTTGATGTTAAACTAGTTACTATTAATGTTTAACTCCTAACTATTGATGTTAAACTAATTAATGTTTAACTCCTAACTATTGATGTTAAGCTAATAACTATTAATGTTTAACTCCTAACTATTGATGTTAAACTAATAACTATTAATGTTTAAGTTGTAACTATTGATGTTAAACTAATAACTATTAATGTTTAACACTTCACTATTGATGTTCAACTATTAACGTCTAACTCCTAACCATTGATGTTAAACTAATAACTATTAATGTTTAACACTTCACTATTGATGTTCCAGGTTTAACACCAGACACTGCTCATAAAGTTAAGGTCCAAGCTAAGAATGCCAAAGCCACATATGATGAAGGAAAAGATAGAAAACGAAGTGAACAGTTATCTTCAACTATAGAGTTCAGAACAGAGCCAGGAAGTAAGTGAAAATTATTTAACAAGGATACATTTTAGCTGCATATATAGCTTAACCTCTCTATTATCAGATAATATAACAACCACAAACCTGGTCAGGGAGATGTCAATCATCCTTGCTTGAGAAACCCCAATGATATTTATCAGCCCCCCCCCACCCCTTCTTCAGTATTGGATTCTCTATATAATAGCTACTGTTTACTTGAAGGTATACCAGACCCACCCCTAGATGTACAAGTTGAACCTGGGCCCCAGGAGGGAACACTTCTAGTCACATGGCTACCCATTACTATCAATGCCAAGGGGTTCTCAAATGGTGCTATAGTGACTGGGTATTCAGTGTACGCAGATGGGACCAAAATTAAAGATATAAATAGCCCAACAGGTAAGTCAAAAACACAATTCAAATGTGGAGGTGGTGGAAAGTGATAGAACTAGCAAGGTATTAGGTACGTCAGTAATGGTAAAGCTCCAGTTCAATAGCTGAGGCATTACCAGAGCATTAGATGTCAAAAGTAACACACCACCTACCAAGGTGGACAGAGAATCAGTCTTACCAGAGGAAAAAATAATTTGGAGAAAACGAGTTGATCTAGTAGTAACAGAACTAGCAAGGAATTAGGTAAATACATGTAGAGATATACACTCAAAATTCTTCAAAATTGCCAAAAATTGAGCAGTTTCGCGACATATAAGAGGATGAATATATGGAATCATCATTGAGGGTACAACTTTTGTGCCATGAACATTAGCGCCATCTTTTAAACAAGACATTTCCAAACCAAAGTTTTGCTTCTATCTGTGAAAGGTTGTATTTTTAATCACACATCCATAGATATAGGGTAAAATAAATTTTCCTGCTTGGCAAAACAAAATGGTCTTAAAATTTTTCAGTCATCTAGTCATTTATTGGCACTCTGGTTCCGTGTAAGTAAACTTTGATTTAGGGAGGTTACTTTATTCTATATATGTACAAATCATGTGGACAAAGTCAACAACAAAGTCATAGTTAGAGCTCACTTATTTACAATCTCATTAAAATTATAGTTAGAGCTCACTTATTTACAATCTCATTAAAATTATAGTTAGAGCTCACTTATTAACCATCTCATTACAACAAAGTCATAATTAGAGCTCACTTATTAACCATCTCATTACAACAAAGTCATAGTTAGAGCTCAATGATTAACCATCTCATTACAACAAAGTCATAGATAGAGCTCACTGATTAACCATCTCATTACAGCAAAGTCATAGCTCACTTATTAACCATCTCATTACAACAAAGTCATAGATAGAGCTCACTGATTAACCATCTCATTACAGCAAAGTCATATTTAGAGCTCATTTATTAATCATCACATTACAGCAAAGTCATAGTTAGAGCTCACTTATTAACCATCTCATTACAACAAAGTCATAGATAGAGCTCACTGGTTAACCATCTCATTACAGCAAAGTCATAGATAGAGCTCACTTATTAACCATCTCATTACAACAAAGTCATAGCTCACTTATTAACCATCTCATTACAACAAAGTCATAGATAGAGCTCACTGATTAACCATCTCATTACAGCAAAGTCATATTTAGAGCTCATTTATTAATCATCACATTACAGCAAAGTCATAGTTAGAGCTCACTTATTAACCATCTCATTACAACAAAGTCATAGATAGAGCTTACTGATTAACCATCTCATTACAGCAAAGTCATATTTAGAGCTCATTTATTAATCATCACATTACAGCAAAGTCATAGTTAGAGCTCACTTATTAACCATCTCATTACAACATGTCATAGATAGAGCTCACTGATTAACCATCTCATTACAGCAAAGTCATATTTAGAGCTCATTTATTAATCATCACATTACAGCAAAGTCATAGTTAGAGCTCACTTATTAACCATCACATTACAGCAAAGTCATAGTTAGATCTCACTTATTAACCATCTCATAACAAGAAAGTCGTAGTCATAGTGTATTAAGTGTTTGTCATATGTGGTTGTGTAGCTTGAGGGTGCAGTATCATATGTGAGAGGGAGGTGCAGCATTGTATGTTTGGGTAATCATATGTGGAGAGTGGATGTAGCCTTGTGTGTAGGAAGCTGAAGCAATTTTATGTCAGATGATAGAGCTTCATTGATAGGATGGCCCAGTTGGAACATCAAAGGTTGGAGTTGGAGCATTAATAGTTGGAGGCGGAGCATCATAAGTTGGAGGTGGAGTGTCATTAGTTGGGGCTGGAGCATCATAAGTCAACAACGAAGTCATAGTTAGAGCTCACTGTTTAACCATCTCATTACAACAAAGTCATAGTTAGAGCTCACTTATTTACAATCTCATTAAAATTATAGTTAGAGCTCACTTATTTACAATCTCATTAAAATTATAGTTAGAGCTCACTTATTAACCATCTCATTACAACAAAGTCATAATTAGAGCTCACTTATTAACAATCTCATTACAACAAAGTCATAGTTAGAGCTCAATGATTAACCATCTCATTACAACAAAGTCATAGATAGAGCTCACTGATTAACCATCTCATTACAGCAAAGTCATAGCTCACTTATTAACCATCTCATTACAACAAAGTCATAGATAGAGCTCACTGATTAACCATCTCATTACAGCAAAGTCATATTTAGAGCTCATTTATTAATCATCACATTACAGCAAAGTCATAGTTAGAGCTCACTTATTAACCATCTCATAACAAGAAAGTCGTAGTCATAGTGTATTAAGTGTTTGTCATATGTGGTTGTGTAGCTTGAGGGTGCAGTATCATATGTGAGAGGGAGGTGCAGCATTGTATGTTTGGGTAATCATATGTGGAGAGTGGATGTAGCCTTGTGTGTAGGAAGCTGAAGCAATTTTATGTCAGATGATAGAGCTTCATTGATAGGATGGCCCAGGTGGAGCATCAAAGGTTGGAGTTGGAGCATTAATAGTTGGAGGCGGAGCATCATAAGTTGGAGGTGGAGTGTCATAAGTTGTGGGCGGAGCATCGATATTTGGAGGTGGAGCATCAGTAGTTGGAGGCGGAGCATCATTAGTTGGAAGTGGAGCATCGATATTTGGAGGCGGAGCATCATAAGTTAGAAGTGGAGCATCATAAGTTGGGGGCGGAGCATCATATGCTAAGGGTCGGACACCATTTTCAGGAAATAAACTATCATACACAGGAGGCAGTTCCAACACTTGATAATTCGATCTCATGTCAGGATGTTGTGTATAAGGGGTGTGCATAGCCGGATGAGCAGCCATTTCTTCAGTTATAGTACAGACTTGGCCCAGGTGTGAGCCAATATCCCAGTTACTTCTGTTATATCTCCCTGTTATCATCGTCATGGTTATTCCACTACCTGTAAAGTACTCGCTTGGAGGCGGCCTTGCATCATTCTCTCGTGTATTTTCTCTCGGTTCATCATCGCAAAATTCACCACAACACCCGTTCCATTTCCATATGCAAATTCCAAAAGTCATGAGCAGGAGAATTACAACTACAATTCCTACTATAATAGGTGACTGAAAAATATACATCCTTATTCTTGTTCCAGTTCAAGGTTTAATTTTCCTTAATATAGATATATCTGTCACATTTTTTACATGTTTGAAATGTCATTACACATCCTTGTATTGTTACACATCATTGCATTGTTACACATTTTTGTATTTTTACACATACTTATTGCCTCAGCATGTTAAGTCACAGGATGCCCTGCTACTAAATATTTTGTTTTACATGAGTTAAATCATATTAAAGTTTAGTTACAAAAATGAAAATGTTTCTTTCAATCACACTTTTTAGGTTTTTTCATTATACTGAATTTATTCGACTGGCTCATTTACATGTTGATTTCATTTCTTTTTTATTATGTTTTAAACGCTGTATAAATGCTGAGACAAGTATGCTAGTCTCATATAAATGTAAAAAGAATATGTTTTCAACTTACTATAATTTTTAACATTACTAAATGCTATACAAATATATATTATTGAATGAATAGCTCAATAGTATTTAAATTCAATAGAATGTTCAACAGCATTCAATGATTCTAGCAAGTAGCAACAGGCCCGTAGCCAGAATTTGCCAAGGGGGGTTCAGTTTTCAAAAATTTCCAGGGAGGGTTTATATTTGGCAATTTTGGCCCAAATATGGCTAAAATCACTTGAGAAGTGCTCAAGATGGTGAAAAACTGCATGATTTTGAAAGAATTTTTGGCCAGGGGGGGTTGCCCGAACCCTGCAAACCCACCCCCCCCCCCCCTGGCTACGGGCCTGCATGTATTCCTGAAGCCAAAACAGCCAGGGTAATACAACCTGCAGAATCACTTTGTGTGCAACAAATTTTCACAGAAATTAGTATGAAAAATTAGTTTTTTATTCACTGTTCACCACTTTCTCATGGGGAATGTCTTTCAAGAACAAGAATGATTAGAACTTATTAGTATTTTATAAAGATTTAATTCAGCTCAATTTGTTGAGATATGTAAGTCTCAGTTGACCTACATACATGTACATACACATGTAGGTCAACTTCATAAGATTTACCATTTTACAAACAGTTTTAAAATTATTACAATATGCAAACAATTGCAAACAGAAGAAAATGTTGATCTTTAAAGGGATTAGATCGTCCGGAATGTTTCTACCGGACAACCAGTTATGTCCTAATATAACTGCTCATATTTAGAGGTTATGTCACTATGACGTGAAATATGCCTGAGTTCTCCCAATATAGGCCGACCTTGGGAGGCTCTATATTTGGGCAAGAACGAAGGCATATTTCACGTCATAGTGACATAACTGATGTATTACATGCCTTTGTTCCCATGGTTACTTTGTATCAATGACGTGACGTCATGATATTATCATGGTTATTAAAGAAATCTAATATCAAAACGAGGTAAGCGGGCTATATCGGGGTAATCGGGCAATATCGGTGGATATAGCTCGCTAACTTTCCCATTGACTTCCATACAAATGCTTCGCTAGGTATGTAATACAACATCATATATGCCTTAGATATATTTTGAAACCATATTATGAGCACAACAACACAACCAAAGAACAACCAAATTAGTTTAGAACACAATAATCGATGCCCAATAATCATGTTTTATTGGGCATCGAACTTCCCTCCGTCAGTCTTTGCAAATACAATCGGTTGCCGGGATATTGAGCCCAGGCAGCCAATCACAGATCGGAGCACATTGATGCAGGCTATTTCAATTTTATTTCGAACATTTGTCCAATAAAAGTTGATGCAGGATGAATTTATGGCTGACAACAATCATCAAATTGATACCGTTAACGAATTGTCTGAAGCCTCAACATTGGTAAGTCGATAGAAATACTTGTTTTACATAATATAACACGAAAATACCAGAGGGTTTACTCTAATTGTGCTTTTGGACAACCTGATCTTTTTAATGGTTAAAAACACAGATCTCATAAAATCTCTTTAAAAACAAGACTTTAACACAATGTCAAAGCTATTTAACCAACCCTCTTTAGGTAGTTTCAGTAATATATTGCCAATATTAACAAATGCTCAACTCTGTTATATGGTAATTTTATTCTATGTACATACATGTATATGGAATATTCAATATGCTTCTCAACTTTCTTAGAGCTCATTCATTCACTGTCTTATCACAGTGAAGTCATAGTTAGATCTCACATTAAACATCTCATTATGCAAAGTCATAGTTAGATCTCACATTAAACATCTCATTATGCAAAGTCATAGTTAGATCTCACATTAAACATCTCATTATGCAAAGTCATAGTTAGAGCTCACTTATTAACCATGTCATTATGCAAAGCCATAGTAAGAGCTCACTTATTAACCATCTCATAATGCAAAGTCATAGTTAGAGCTTGCTTATTAACCATCTCATAATGCGAAGTCATAGTTAGAGCTCACTTATTAACCATCTCATTACAACAAAGTCATAATTAGACCTCTTTTAATAAACATCTCATTACAACAAAGTCATAATTAGAGCTCACTCATTCACTGTCTTATCACAGTGAAGTCATAGTTAGAGCTCACTTATTAACCATCTCATTACAGCAAAGTCATAATTAGAGCTCATTTATTAACCATCTCATTATGCAAAGTCATAGTTAGAGCTCACTCATTCACTGTCTTATCACAGTGAAGTCATAGTTAGAGCTCACTTATTAACCATCTCATTATGCAAAGTCATAGTTAGACCTCTTTTAATAAACATCTCATTACAACAAAGTCATAATAAGAGCTCACTCATTCACTGTCTTATCACAGTGAAGTCATAATTAGAGCTCACTTATTAACCATCTCATTATGCAAAGTCATAGTTAGAGCTCACTCATTCACTGTCTTATCACAGTGAAGTCATAGTTAGAGCTCACTTATTAACCATCTCATTATGCAAAGTCATAGTTAGAGCTCACTTATTAACCATCTCATTATGCAAAGTCATAGTTAGAGCTCACTTATTAACCATCTCATAATGCGAAGTCATAGTTAGAGCTCACTTATTAACCATGTCATTATGTAAATTCATAGTAACAGCTCACTTATTAACCACCACATTACAGCAAAGTCATATTGAGAGCTCACTTATTATCCCAACGAACGGAGTTCGGTAGGGATATAGTGAAGCCCTCCATCCGTCAGTCAGTCCGTCTGTCTGTCCGTCCGGAAGATAACTCTAATACTAGTTGACGGATTTTCTTCATATTTAGTGGAAATATGTAAATTGGTGCATAGTTTTACGCAAAAAATGACGGGGCTTTTTCCCAAAAAATCATAAATTTTTCATTCTAAACCAAAGTAATTAATATTATTGTTTGAAATTTTGGTAGTATATTCGCAACATCTATCTTTTTCACATATATTCCGTGTTTGTCATCCTGACCCCCAGGGGCCGTGTATGGGGGGTCAGGAAAACAGAAACTTTCGCTAATTTTTAGATCTTTCTGAAGTATAGCTTTATTATACTCAAATGAAAGGCAATTAAGAGTAGATTGCAAATATTGTATCTTTTTCTGATTCGAGCCTCGTAAAATTCAAAATGGCCGTCTAATGTACGATTTCGCAATTATTTTTTGATCCCTTCAAAGTATGGCTATATTATACTCAAATTGAAGGAAGTTTGGAGTAGATCACAATTATGGTATTATTTTTCAGATTTGTTCCTCAGAAAATTCAAAATGGCTGCTTTGCAGGAATTCGCAATTCTAAAATCTAAATTTTTCAATTTTAACCAAAGTAATGAGTATAATTGATTGGAATTCGGTAATTGATATTTTGTTTGTTGGGATTTGCTACTCCGCGGAGTTGCCATTATCTAGTTAACCATCTCATAATGCGAAGTCATAGTAAGAGCTCCCTTATTAACCATCTCATTACAACAAAGTCATAATTAGACCTCTTTTAATAAACATCTCATTACAACAAAGTCATAATTATAGGTCACTCATTCACTGTCTTATCACAGTGAAGTCATAGTTAGAGCTCACTTATTAACCATCTCATTACAGCAAAGTCATATTTAGAGCTCACTTATTAACCATCACATTACAGCAAAGTCATAATTAGAGCTCACTTAATATTAACCATCTCATTACAGCAAAGTCATGTTAAGAGCTCACTTATTAACTCACTTAATCTCATTAGGCAGTTCTATCGTTTGTTGGAGGCCTAGGCAGTACAATACCAAAAAGAGGGTTGTATCTTAAGTTTTTGTCTTATGTTGGGGAGTTTGTTTGGGTTGTAGCATCACATGTTAAAGGGAGGATAGCAGCATATTTTGGGGGATGTAGGTTGTAGAATAGTATGTGGTTGGGGTGTAGCCTTGTGTGTAGGAAGCTTCAGATTTATGTCGGATGAGTCATAGGACTTTATAGGTGGGATGGCCCAAGTGGAGCATCATAACTTGGAGGTGGAACATCATAACTTGGAGGCGGAGCATTATCACTTGGTGGCGGAGCATCGTAACTTGAAGGCGGAGCATCATAACTTGGAGGTGGAGCCGCAGTAGTCGGAGGTGGAGCATCAGATGTTTGTGGTTGAGCAATAATAGTTGGAGGCAGAGCATCAAAAGTTTGGGGAGGAGCATTAATAGTTAGAGGCGGAGCATCATACGTTGGAGGCGGAGCATCATACGTTGGAGGCGGAGCATCATACGTTGGAGGCGGAGCATCATATGTTGGGGGTGGAGCATCATATGCTAAGAGTCGGACATCATTTTCAGGGAACAAAGTATCATATGCAGGAGGCTTGGGCAGTTCCAACATTTGATAATTCGATCTCATGTCAGGATGTTGTGTAGAAGGGGTGTGCGTAGTCGGATGAGCAGCCATTTCTTCAGTTATACAGCCTTGGCCCTGTACGCCAATATCCAGGTTACATCTATTATATCGTGCTGTTAGTCCATGTATGTCATGTATAATTCCATTTGATGACCTTCCTATAACAGCTTCATTTTCACAATGTATTGAATTCATGGTTATTCTGTTATTATCAGTATAGTAGTGCTCGGTTGGAGGTAGCCTTGCATCATTCTCTTGTGCATTTTCACTCGGTTTGTCAATGCAACATTTACACCCCCTCCAAATGCAAATTCCACAGCTTATGAACAGTAATGTAATTCCAAAAACAACTGCGATTAAAATATTTATAATAAAATCCACACCGTTTGCACTAGTTACCCATATTATAAATGCTATTCCAGGTGTTGATAGTGTAATAACAAATAAGATGGCGCACATTTTTTGATTAATGTTCTCCTTACACATTTTTGTACCATATTAGTTCTCCAATTTCCTTAATGTTGAGTGTGTACATCCTTGTTCTTGTCCCAGTGCAAATTTTTTTAAATACAGAAATCTGTCACATGTTTGAAACAGTGCATGTTTTCAATTCACTGGATGCTGTGCTATCTAAATACTTTGTTTTACATGGGTTAAATCATATTAAAGTTCAGTTTCAAATACAAAAACTTGTTTTTCATTTATACTTTTAATGCCTCGGTCGCTTTGCCTCGATAATTCTCTTTACCAAAAAATATTAAATTATTTTTTCCATTCGTTCACATTTTGATGTCATTTCTATTTTTATATTTCCTTTTAGAAACTGCATAGATGTAACTAAAAAATAACTTTTCAACTTACTTACTTTTTTGTATAGCAAATTAAAAATGTATGTCAACTAGCATTGAGTGAAAATGAAACAATTAATTTGCCAAATATGGCAATATAAGAAGTCAATACTGTTAAAATGAATATAAGAAGTCAATACTGTTAAAATGAAATAATTGTTTCACCCATCATATACATGATACATCCAGGCCCGTAGCCAGGGGGTTGCAGGGTTCGGGCAAACCCACCCCCTTGAGCACTTCTCAAGTGATTTTAGCCATATTTGGGCCAGAATTGTCAAATGTGAACCCCCCCCTGGAAATTTTTAAAAACTGAACCCCTCCCCTTATCAAATCCTGGCTACGGGCCTGCATCTATGCATCTTTAAACATAGATCAGAGTTTGTTGCCCTTGATTTTTCTCTTTTTATAATGGAAGATTTGATCGAGGAAGTAAAGTGATTCTGCAGGTTAAATGAACATTATTGATGATACACATTTAGAGGGTCACTGTAACCCTATACATTTTTGATATTTTGATATTATGAATGATAACCCTCATTTTTACATTATTTATTATATTTTAACAGACTGCTTGAAATTTTCATCTTTCACTGATGAGTCACCTGTTTGGAAGACTCCATAATAAGCGGGTTCAAAACATGTATAATACGAAAAGGGCATACTCCGATCACAGGGCTTCAAAATCCAGAATAAATTCTTTCTTTTTATCCCCTGCGATAAGCAGTTAGCATTTCCCCGATTAAGAACTCACAATCTAATTGGCTGTCGCAACACTGCGACAGAAATCATGTATAAGTCATTGCGAATAATTAGATCATGTGATTCAGTTTAATCAAGCGCTTCCAAATTGGTTATAGCAGGGGGAAGGAGGAACAGATTCTGGATACCTGCTTAGGAGGATGGAAAAGGGTGACATTAGAATAAGAACATTGTAACATTTAGACATACATGTATGAAGCAGATATTTTTTTTTATTTTTTTTTTAAGGTTAGGTTTTATTTATTTGCAATTAGATTTTACACTTGTTAAAATACTAGGAAGGCTTAGGTAAAACATTACATTATTGGCCTCCCTTATAGAAGATATTATATGAAATAAATGAAAACTTCGTGAAACATGACAACTTTATTCATATTAAAGGGTTAGGATGAAATAGATATGAGCAGATACCCTTTCCAAGATGTCAACTTTGTCTAGATCTAACACTCTTTGAAAAATCGAATTTATTATTTGATTTAGTGTATTATTTAGAATAAATAGTCAAAATGTTTCTTATAGTACTACATTTTATCACTGTGTGTATTGGTGCCTATATGTGGCCGCTGTTAATTTCTCATGCATTTCTCAAACATGTAAAAACATGATATACATGCTCCATGTAAAAACATAAAGGTCATACCAGGATCAACATTATAAAATTATTCACTCTTAATTAGAGGGTAATGTTGCTAGATGAAATGCATCCAGGGTAATAGATAGCTGGTCATTTTAATACTGTACAGATATTCCTTTAGGGCTATTGATTGTTTAAAATCACTCACTCGTAATTAGAGGGTAATTTTTCTAGATAAAATGCATCTAGGGTAATAGGTAGTTGGTCATTTTGATACTGCACAGATCATTTCCCTTTTGGGCTATTGATTCTTAAAAGCAATTAAAGACTCAGGAGACCCCAAAATCCAATTGAGGCTTTGGATAAAATGTTGTCTGCATGTGCTGTTTTCACTCAATTTCTCTTTAAAATTTGAATAAAGTGTCTGGTATTCTTGCATTTCTCTATAATTCAGAGTGTTCTCTACATGCCTGTGTCAATCATTCCCTGCTAATTCCACTGTTTTCACTCAATTTCTCTTTAAAATTTGAATAAAGTGTCTGGTATTCTTGCATTTCTCTACAATTCAAAGTGTTCCCTACATGCCCATGTCAATCATTCCCTGCTAATTCCACTGTTTTCACTCAATTTCTCTTTAAAATTTGAATAAAGTGTCTGATATTCTTGCATTTCTCTACAATTTAGAGTGTTCTCTACATGCCTATGTCAATCATTTCCCGCTAATTCCACTGTTTTTCACTCTATTTTGAGTTTCAAAACATGACTACAGTGGGATTCTTTTGGCTGAGCAAACCAATGAAGCATTCACTAATGGTAATGCTAACCCTTTAATGATATCTTGCATGTTGATCATGAAGTCAAGCCATGTAGAAGGAATCTCCGTGAATTTTCCTTATGATTGTTTTTCTATTGAATGTATGTAAAAAATCAAAAATATATTTTGTCATGATTTTTAGTAACTTTTTTTGATTGCTTTGAAATGTTTGACTGACCTGATAGATCATTTCATTTTTCGCAAGATTGATGAAATTCATTGTTCAGCTTTAAGGGTTTCATATTTATTTATGAATTTTTATCATGTTTACTTCACACTTTTATGCACTTTGGTGATGGCATTAATTGTTATTATGAAATATGAAGATTCTTCCTATTCAAAAATGATCAGTATTTGTGAGGGTTTTTACCTTATAATAGACCTGAACTATTTCTTTGCTTTCAGATGACCATACAGTATTACAGTCGGATGATTTTGCTGGCCAAAAACCAAAGGAGATTTACATGTGTACTCAAAGTCGTGATGGGGCATCAGAAAATAGTTCCAAGGTGACTATTACTCAGGACTTGATCAAAGAAATCACAAAAAATAACGCAAGAAATCTTGCAAACGCTGCTGCTGCTATTGTAAAAGAAAAATTGGTAAGTATCTGTAAAATTATTGTTTCTACCTCTTAAACCAGATATTTTCTTAATACATGTAGATACATATTACACAAACATATACATAGCAGGCCCGTACCAGGGTTCGGGCGAACTCCCCCCCCCCCCCCAGCCAAAAATTATTTCAAAATTATTCACCATTTTGAGCACTTTTCAAGTGATTTTAGCCATATTTGGGCCAAAATTGTCTAATGTGAACCCCCCAATGGAAATTTTTGAACTGAACCCCCCTTGGCAAACCCTGGCTACAGGCCTGCATAGTATATATATGTGAAACCTTCAGAGGTCGAACACATTTGGTCCTCAAAGTAGAGTTCCACATACAAAAAGGCTCACTTTATGTCAAGTCATTCGGTAAGAAGACTTGGAAATGTGTTCCTTTTAAGGATGTGCTCCACTAAGGGATGCATTCTATTTTATAGGTTTCACTGTAATAACAAAATGGTAGAATTCATTGAATACTTGAGTCAAAATATGATGAAGCCTTTCATTAGCCCTTGCTATGCCGTGGTCACATTTGCTCCGATCTTCAACCCCAGCGCCCGATCAATGAGTATTTTGTTCAAAACTGAATGCAATTTTGAACAAAATATTCATCTGCCGGGCACCGGTACTAAAAATCAGAGCAAATGTGACCACGGCATTACCTATATTCTTTCTTAAAGAAAATCACATACCAGCAACCAATTCGCTCTTCAAAGTGCGATATAAATCCCTGTGTGTCTTGATATTATACTGCATCCCAACATCCCACATTTGCTGTTTTAGGCAAGTACAATGTACGAAGACCTTTCTGATGAGGATGATACAGAAAATCTCACAAATAGTGCTGATTCTGATGAGCCTGAGGAAGTCGAAACTTTTGAAAAATCTTCAAAAAAGACTAAGCCTTCAGTGAAAACTGTTAATGAAGATAGTCTCTATTCAGAAATAGCACATGCTTCCAAGGATTCCAAAAAGAAGGTATTTAGGGAAATTATCTATGTTTATGAGTTTTTAATTTTACGAGTTCATAGATTTTTTTCATAAATTATCCATGGACAATATTTTGATATTTAGTGCATGTAGGATACTTTATGCACCTAATACTAAAACATATTTTAGTAAATAAATTTTTAGTTTAAGATAATTTTATTAATACATTTAAACATGTAGAATATTCAATGTTGTTCACCCCATCATTGTATTCATTATTTACAGTAGATATTTTCAATGGGCATTATAACCATCAGAAAAAATCATAATGAACATTTTTGAATGTAGTGGAAAAGAGTGGAATTTGCAAGGAATAATGCAAATAGGTATTTAGTGAACGCTATAGAACAGTGTTGGTGAATGCTTTAGTTGCATAGAAATGCCACAGATCATTCCAACTTTTGTTTGGAAGTGGGGTATTAGAAAAAATGGTGCTGGTTACAGAGTACGGTTAAGTTGCCTCTAAGCATTTTTATAAACAACTTCGTTATGAAAAAATGGTACTGGTTACAGAGTATGGTTAAATTGCCTCGTCATTCAGCATTTTGACAAAAAATGTAACACCTCAAAATTCCTTCATTATGAAGCGGTTTTGTCAAAATACTTCATAACAAAGCAATTAAACCTGCTGCATAACTACAACAACACTGTTATTATTTCTCATGGTTATTCTGCCACATATGTTTGGTTTCACAACTTTAATTTGCAGTTTTATATTTTTAATTTCAGTTAAGATCAACCTTGTTGTTGCTTTATAAATTGTTATCGATTTCTTGGTCTTGCATCAATATTCTGGTTATGTCACCAATGACCCTTCTATATTTCCTTGCCTAAGCTGTGGAAGGAGTAAATAGAGGGACAGGGGTGCATAAGTCCTCGCTTTACCCCTCCTTCTTCAACTTAACCCTCCAGGCTGAAGCTGTGTCAAACAGTGATACATTTGGAGACAGGGGGACATAAGTCATTGCATCAATAAGTCACCCCCCCCCCCCACACTCTCCCTTCACCTAAACTAAATCTCCAAGCCTTAACTGTATAAAGGTAAATGGGGTGAGAAGGGGCCACAAAGTCCTGGTATCATCACCTCCCACTCCCCTTTCACCTTGATTGACACCCTCTCTCAGATGAAGATGGCCAGAATCTTGATATAGGACCTTGAAAACCCTAAAATCCCTAAAATATTATTTGTTAGATTATATATATATTGTAAAATTGAAAGTCTTTAAAGAGGCACTGTCTGTAGTATTTTCAAACAAATATATCAAAAATTACGAAAATAAATTGTTTGTTAATGAGTCGAGGATTTACTTATTCCAAAACAAATGCTTGAAAAAATCCAGTCTAGAAATAAGCTGACCGAACCAATCTCATGTCAATTAATAGAAATATAGGTATTTATAAGGTAAAATACAAATATTATTTGATATGTACAGTGCCTCTTTAAGAGAAAATAGGGACAGATTGTGGAAAAATGTGAATTACTGACAGTCATGCAGGAAAAGGTTATGCCATAAAAGTCATTGTTGTGGTTTTCAGGGGTTATCAATGGACTAGAATTCGATGCAAGACTTCTGTAAAAATTTATTTATTAATATTCCCATTTGTATTTCACAAAGTTTTATTTTCATTTTATTTATTTAATTGTTTATGCACTTATCACAGAATTCCACGGCACCAAAAGAAACCCAATCAAGTTCTACAAAGTTGAATAAATCTGCTGAATTGAGTCACCCCACAGACTTGAGTAAACCAGCAGAGTTGAGTAAACCTACAGATTTGAGTAGCCCAACAGTCTTGAGTAATCAAATCGCTGACTTGCACATCAAATCTGGGACTGACTCAACGAGCAGTGAGTTATCAGATATCGAAGAAGTTGAAGAGGATGTGGATTTTTCTTCCGATTTTGATGTTTCTATTCCTGGCATGAGTGATGAGGATAATCCAGTGGCTCCCTCTGTCCAACAAAATGTAAGAATCCGTGCTGACATCTATCATTGAAAAGCTGAACTAGAAACTCCCTTTTTGATCTTGTAGAGTTAAATCATTTTGGAAATTTGTGACAGTCTTGCATTAAGACTATAAGATGTATAATCAACATTCAGTAACAATGTTACCCCCCCTCCCCGTCCCCCTAATGTCACAATCACCTCTCCCCTCTAGACTTCATGCAAGACATTTGATATGTGCATTCATTGTGTATGTATTGTTGTAATTGTTAAAAATCTTAATTTATTTTTGTTCAACTTTACTTTTAATTTGAAATTAAGAATTATTGACTATACCATGGGAAGGTGCTGCATTGTATGGATTAAGATTGAAAACTGAAATATGATATTTAAGATACATGCTGAACCCCCCCCCCCCCCTCCCTCCCCTCCATTGTTGTTGTTGTACTGGCACCTTGCTTTTATCTTCACCATGCCATGGCAGTTCACTTAACTTCAGTCTCATTTTTAACTGCAAATTTTGCATCATTAAACTGAAAAAAATTAATAATTTCAGTAGGAAATATGGACTGATCCATGGCTTATTTGCATTTCAATAACCCAATTTTTTATTATTATTTGAAAAAAATGTATTTCATGTTCAAAATCTTCTATTTTCTATATAATAAATTCTATTTTGCATGTAATAATTTGGCTGCCATGCTATTTACACATGAATAATACTTCAATTTTATGATTCATTTTATTTATTAGTTTTATTTTTTATTTTTGAAAATATATAATTTCACATATTGAATCATCAGCCAAATATCAAGGCACATAACAGTGCTGAAAATATTGTTGTAATTAGCCTGAGACCCCTAAATTGAGATACACAATGGATAATTCTCATGCATAGATATTCATTGATTTGATACGGTTCAACGTACTCATTATTTAATTATACATAATAAACAGGAATTTGTCATCAATAGTGTTTTATTGATGAAGTATGAAACTTCTTTTCTGAACAGCTTACATGCTAAAATGTTGAAACAAATAAGTGAATAGCCATCTCAAAAGAAATTCCTTAGATACTAATCAGATTTCACCACATTCAGTTTGTTAACATTAGTGTGTTTGCAATGAAGGTGTTTATGTCTGCTTTTAAAAGAGGGTATTCACATATTTTAGATGTTTCACTTAACATTAAGCATGTTGTAGGAGCAATAAAGGATATCCCATGATTTTTGAGGGATATCATTTTTATCCATGAGTGGATATTGACAATCTCCATGAACGAGCACAGCAAATAAGTTGTGATGGGTGATATCCATGAGTGGATAAAAAAGATAGTCAGTGAATATCATATTGGGTAGATAATATTTGTCGTTATCAATATATGAATTTAGTACCCATTGGATAAACCTATTTATAAATAAATTACTCAGTAAATAATTTATAATTCACATTTAGATGAGGCATACTTCTGAAGAAACGTCCAGTCCAAAATCACACTCCAAGCATCCCCATCCATTGAAAACAAGCTCGCCAAAATCTAGCCAATCAGCTTCCCAGAAATCTTCAGCTCCAGAATCTCCAAGATCACGTTCTAGATCGGGATCTGGGTCGAAATCTCGAGATTCTCCTCAAAGATCTAAGAACGATTCATCGAAATCGCTAACGCCGAGGACTGTAGATGGTAGCCCGAAACTCGAAGAAACAGGATTTAAGCCAGTTGTTAGTCCGACGTCTGATAGGTCACCGATTACAGAAGAGACACAAAGTCCCCAAAAAACAGAGGAGGATTTAAGTCCCATAAAAACTGGTGCTCACAAAGCAAACATGCCCGTGCCTCATATAGGTAGGTCACTTTTTATGTTACAATCAAATACAGTAAAACCTGTTTATCCGAAGATTTCTCTTATTCGACGACATCTTATTCGACTTTTTCTTGGTTCCAATTGTGTTGCAATGTGAAAACAAACATTTTAAGCTGGTTCCCGTGTTTTTCTTAAATAAACAGGTTTTATTGCACCCTATATATCTTTATATCTAAAGTAGAGGGAGTTCCTTTTGTGACTTTCTTATTGATATTACATAACAATAATCAATGACTGAATCCTTTTCATGTGGCTATGGCATAAAATCCATCAAACAGTACCCTTTTACATGGATAATTAGCCAAAAATCTATGTATTTGTAAATCTATAGAAGCAGACCTTTTTGTTGTATATTAAATATTTATTAACAAATGTTACACAAAAATGATTTTATTGATAGTTACTATTTCACAAATGCGCAATTGATTCACTTATCAAAGTATTAAGAATACTACCTGTAGTCCTGTAGTGTGCCTGGATATATATGCATATATGTCTAGGGAACTATCATAAAGAATCATAAGTTTTACCGTTGCGTTACAATTCTGTTTGTAAGACACCCTCATGAGCATTTACTACATAATTATAAATAAGTCTCAAAATGGTAATATTTTGAATAATATTATGAAGGTACATTTATAATGAAAAGAGTATAGTCACAAAGAACAGAAGTAAACAAGTGTGCAGCCTGCCCTCTAAACGACAAACATATGCCTGAAAATCAGTCACTTTTTTAAGTTTTATTGGGAAAAAAATCTACAATCTACAATATCACCATGAATCTTATTCAGGGGTACCATTACTGCATATTGGCAATGAAAAACGAAGCATGACTTCTTATTGATCAGGAGTCTGAGGTTAAAAAGAGTAATGATCTATTTGAAATGCCAATAAGGTACGCAATCAGAAGAATGAAAGGTTAAAACTAGAAACAAATCGCTGGTAGATTGTATTGAAAAGAAACATGTCGCAATGACTTTTTATTTTCCTTTTTCAAAATTGAGTAAGAAACAACCAAAATTCAGCTATTAAAACGTATATCGATACATTTCTCGCATTTCTACACTCGAAACTACAAAAATCAATTTGCTTGATCAATTTTGTCTGAAAATAATTACATATGCATAATAAGACGCGGACAAATTGCACATGTCACGATTTCTTGAGAAATGTGCCAAATGTGTACGAATGTTACCTTCCTTATACTAGTAAACATGTAGATCCAAATACTTCTTAAATCAAAACACCTCTCAATGTGAACACCATATCTGATGAAAGCGCAGTCAGAGTTTGCCCCTAATGACCCACTGATTTGAAGAATCATAAAGTTTAATCAATTTTCACAGAATTTCCAAATTTTCTGAAAGTATGTGTATGATGAATAAACAGCATTAATCTCGATGATTTTATAGTAGTTCCAGTTGCTCAGTTTCTGGTGGGACCCGCCAAAATGATTTCAATTTGCTTTTCCCACTTGTTTTATTCGGTAGATGACTGAACATATGACTTTTGCAACATTTCTGTCATATTTGTCTCACTTTCATCCAAAACTGTAGTGAAATCCTGCAGAATTTGCAAGGAATGGCCTTTTTCACTTGTAGAATTCATTGTTTCACTTGCAGAATTGGTGTTTCACTTGTTTAATTCATAGTTATGTCACTCCAACTTTCTTTTTTGATGACAGTCAGCATTCAGTGATTTGTGTTCAGCTTACAGCATCTGTAACAAATGGCAGGTGGTGACATTTTCCATGTTAATGCCTGGTTCTCAACTTTTAGAAAAACTGAGAGTAGCGTTAATATAATAGTCATGATACTAATATCTTGATTGAAAGATAAATTATTTATGATATGAAACCAATATAGTATGGCATGTTCTATGTCACTGTTCTGTTAAGATTATTTGTCATTTATTAATCTGATTATAAATTCCCTTTGCATTTAAGAGTCTGGGATTGATTCAATTTGTCAGTGACTTAACATATCTATTTCAGTACATTCCATCAATTTAATTGTGATTTCATATTTTCTGTTTTTAGTTGAAGTTTCTTTTAGGCAACATTTTGCTAGATGAAATATTAGACAAGTAGAGATCTTAACATCTCAAATGAATATTTTACTTTAATGTCATTTTAAGAGGTTTGAATGCAAAATGAATATTTACTTCTTCAAAGCAAAATCAGTCTGATACGATATAGAATACTGAGCCAAGATGTTTTGAGAAAGAAATACAGTACTTGACTAAGTCAAGATATGAGCAAGATCATATCAGATCAGATCTTAACATTTCAAATGTAATGTTAATGTCCGTAAAAGAGGTTTGATTGCGAAATGAATGCATACTTCTTCAAAGAAAAAACAGTTTGATCGGATATTGTATACTGATCCAAGATGTTTTGAGAAAGAAATACAGTACTTGACTTAATTAAGTCAAAATATGAACAAGATCAGATCTTAACATCTCAAATGTAAGTTTAATGTCCGTAAAAGAGGTTTGATTGCGAAATGAATGCATACTTCTTCAAAGAAAAAACAGTTTGATTGGATATAGTATACTGATCCAAGATGTTTTGAGAAAGAAATACAGTACTGACATAAGTCAAGATTTGAGCAAGATTAGATCTTAAAATCTCAAATGTAATGTTAATGTCCTTAAAACATTTAAAAGAGGTTTGATTGCGAAATGAATGCGTACTTCTTCAAAGAAAAAACAGTTTGATCGGATATTGTATACTGATCCAAGATATTTTGGGAAAGAAATACAGTACTTGACTAAGTCAAGATATGAGCAAGATCATATCAGATCAGATCTTAACATTTCAAATGTAATGTTAATGTCCGTAAAAGAGGTTTGATTGCGAAATGAATGCATACTTCTTCAAAGAAAAAACAGTTTGATCAGATATTGTATACTGATCCAAGATGTTTTGAGAAAGAAATACAGTACTTGACTTAATTAAGTCAAAATATGAACAAGATCAGATCTTAACATCTCAAATGTAAGTTTAATGTCCGTAAAAGAGGTTTGATTGCGAAATGAATGCATACTTCTTCAAAGAAAAAACAGTTTGATTGGATATAGTATACTGATCCAAGATGTTTTGAGAAAGAAATACAGTACTGACATAAGTCAAGATTTGAGCAAGATTAGATCTTAAAATCTCAAATGTAATGTTAATGTCCTTAAAACATTTAAAAGAGGTTTGATTGCGAAATGAATGCGTACTTCTTCAAAGAAAAAACAGTTTGATCGGATATTGTATACTGATCCAAGATGTTTTGAGAAAGAAATACAGTACTTGACTTAAGTCAAGATTTGAGCAAGATCAAAGGCATGGCTTTAATATAAAGAATAGAGATGAAGTCAACCACTCCTGAAAAGTACTTTAGTCCCTGATCAATAAATGAGCTTAATTGCTCTGACGAACTCTTAAACTGCACCAGGGGGTTTATTCATTGCAGGCAATTTGCTATTTTCTCTGTGTTTACTGATATTGGTTTGTGTTCTAAGGTATTTTGCAACTATTTCTATATGAGAACAATAATTTTGCCAGGTTTTATGTCACAGCCGGAAGTTTCATACTTATAGTTTCCAACTTATCTGTAGGCAGCGTTTGATGTTTGGCATATGTAACAAATGGCAAGTGGTGTAATTTTGCATGTTAATACCAATGTTTTTTCTGTTAAGAATTTTGCTGAAACCTCTGCCTTATCAAAAGTGTTCACGACTTTGCTGAAGACATGACTGCTACAAATAAACATATTGACATTCATTCCATTGCCCAATAGGCAACCAGTTTTTCAAGCCCATTGCCAATAGTGAAAACATGATTGCCACAATTGCCATATTGCTGCCCAGCCCATTGCCCAATAACAATTATAAGCAAATCATTTTTCAAGCCCATTGCCAAGATTGAAAAGTGGTTGTTATTGGCAGTCAATGGTTGCCATTGGCAATTGGCAGTCAGTGGTTGCCATTGACAGTCAGTGGTTGCCATTGGCAGTCAGTGGTTGCCATTGACAGTCAGTGGTTGCCATTGGCAGTCAATGGTTGCCATTGGCAGTCAAGCAGCTGTGAGTTTCTAACTCTGCTTACCACCTAGTCATGACATTTACATACCAAAGGTTACGTTAAAATCTTATCTTAGATGCGTGTATAGAGATATCTAAAATTGATCAGATTGGGGCCTTCGATACAAATCACTCATCCAAGCTGTCATGAATTAATACATGAAGTAATAACTTGTTGAATCGGTAGGGACAAGATGTGACACGAAGTTCGTTAAATTGTGTAGCGTTGCCTGTTTTGCTAAGAATTTTTGTGATCGGTTAAATGAAAGGAAATAAGTTTAACCAATGATTTGTTGTAGATGGGTATATCGATGATTCTGTCGCGTTTCTCTAACACTATTTACAAATAGATCAGAGAGCAGACAAGTTCGTATACAGACTTGATGACGATCTATATTTAGAGCACAGATCAATGTCTGATAATTGCTCCATGTTGATATATTTGATGAATCGTGGAATTCAACGAACCAAATTACATTCTGTAAGGGTAATAAGCCAGTGCCATTTTTTCCCGAAGGAGTCGGTCAGTAAATTTTCCAATGGTATTTTCAATTATCCGCAAACAGACCTCATATTATGACAGCTATATACCAGATACATGTACATCATTATTGATTGAGTTTCTTAGACTAGCCGAATGTTCCCATCTACTCCCCATTTCATGTTTTGAAATTGAAAATAAAGTAAAAAAAAAACGTGGAATCAGCAAGGAATAAAGTAAACAGATGTATAATATATAGCCAAAATGTTGAATTTTAAAGAAATATCAGAAAATGTGATATTTTGTTGAAAATGAGATGTATAATAATCAAAAAATGACAAATATCAGAAAATGTGATATTTTGTTGAAAATGAGATGTATAATAATCAGAAAATCAGAAATATCAGAAAATGTGATATTTTGTTGAAAA